GTCTTGTCCAGTGTCTGATACCTAGTAGGCACTTGGTAAATACTTTGTGAATGAAAGAGTGAGTGGGTGAACCTAAGAGAGTCACCTCCAGAGGTTTTTTAAGATGTTAACAATTAGGAAAAACTTTAATTCATTAGATCTTTTGTCCTGGATGGGAGATGGAATGGGAATAGGAGAGTGTCTGATTAAATGTGTAAATTCATAAAAAGTGACCATGACATTGTTTACATATGTATAATTTTCAGACTACTCAGTATCCTTGATAGGACAACCTGAGTCTTGTCATAACAAGGACCTGAGTCTCAAACTAAAAAAGAGGTGATTTTTAAGCCAAATAAAAGGCAGTCTACATTGAATATCTATGGAGGTCTTACAATGTTGGCAGGCAGATGTTAAGTTCTTAAGAAATGTCAATAAAAGTTGTTGATGTTTTTGAGATTGTTTTCTGAAAACTGAGAAAGGATGCCAAGGAGTATGACAAATGATCTATAGTGGTGCAGTGATTACGTGATCAGCTGTTACCTGAAAGATTGATGGTTCAAATCCATCAGCTGCTCTGCAAGAGAAAAAAAAAGATATGACAATCTGTTTCTATAAAGATTTACAGCTTTGACTACCTTGTGGGATGTCTTGTATGCTTGTTGTGAGTTGGAATTGACTCAACAACAATTTAGTCTGAAAAATAGACATATGTTCCAAATAGGTATTCAATTAATGTCCAGTTAAGTAGCCACCAGGCGTATGTATTTGTTGAGCGCTTGAAAGATGTTAAAGAAAAACTGAGCTGTGCTGTAAGTGTAAAATACATTCCAGATTTCAAAGACTCGGTAAAAAAGTAAAATTTTAATACTTCTTAATATTTATTACGTGTTGAGATTATAATAATTTGCATCTTTTGGGGTAAGACATCATGCTAGAAAAAAGTCAAGGGTTGGAGACCCTTAACAAGGTGGATTGACACAATGACTGTGACAATGGACTCAAGCATAGAGATAATCGTGAGAATGGCACAGGATAGGGCAGGGATCAGATCTGTTGTCCATAGGGTCATAGATCCAAAGTCAACTTGACGGCACATAGTAACGAAAACTTACAATTACTTTGACAGTTTCTTTTTACCTTTTAAATATGATTACTAGAACTGAGCAAGGAGACACTGCCTGGTTCAAAATCAGGAAAGGAGTGCATCAGGAATGTGTCCTGTCTCCATACCTTTTCAGTCTATCTGCAGAACAGATGATTCAGGAGACTGTACTTTATGAAGAAGAATATAGTGTCAGGATTGGAGGAAGACTCATCAGCAAACTGTGTAATGCAGATGACACTAACTTACTGGCTGAAATTGAGGAGGACCTGAAGCACTTGCTGCAGAAAGTCAAGGACTGCAGTCTTTAATATGGACTGAAGCTCAACATCAAGAAGACAAAGATTCTCACCACTGAGCCAATTCGCAGCACCATGATAGATGGAGAAGAGGTTGAGGTTATGAAAGCTTGCATGGCTCCACAATCAACACTGTTGATCCAGCAGTCAAAAGACTAATCACATTAGGGAAATCTGCTGTCAGGGTCTTATCTAAAATGCTGAAGAGCAATGGTGTCATCCTAGAGACTAAATTGCACCTGATCCACTCTATGGTCTTTGCAATTACTTGCTATGCATCAGAAAGCTGAACAATGACTAAGGACGACAGAAGAGAATCGATGCCTTTGAGTTGTGGTGCTAGAGAAGAATCTTGAACATACAATGGACTGCCAAAAGAACAAACAGGTCTGTCTTGGAGAGGGTGAAACCAAGTTTCTCCTTGGAGACAAGGACTTAGACATACTTTGGGCATGTGGCCAGGAGGAACCAGTCCTTGAAGAAGGTCATCATGCTTGAACAGGTGGAGGGACAGTGAAGTAAGATCTCAGATGACATGGATTGACACAGTGACTAGGGTAATGGAGATAGGTATGTTGGAGACAGTGAAACTCAGGATGGGGTGGGAGTCAGAGTTATTGTGTATAGACTTGCTTGAGTCTCAGGCAACTTGATGGCACATAACAACAACTAGAAAATTCTAGATCAAGGCATACAGACTTCATTATGAATTGCCTCTCAAAAAAAAAACCAATTCTCACCACTGGACAAATAGGCAACATCATAAATGGAGAAAAGATTGAAGTTGTTGATGATTTCCTTTTATTTGGATCCACAATCAACAGCCTTGGTACCAATAGTCAGGAGATCAGGAGACGTATTGCATTGGGAAAGTTTGCACTTGGGGACCTCTCCAAATTATTCAGGATCAATGATGTCACTTTGAGGATTAAAGTGAACCCTGATTCAAGCCATAGTGTTTTCAGTCACTTGCAGTGCATCTGACAGCTGGACAATAAGAATTGATGCCTTTGAGCTGTGGTGTTGGAGAAGAGTGCTGACTATCCCATGGACTGCCAAAAGAATAAACAAGTATGTCTTGGAGAAATTGCATCAGAGTGCTCCTTGGAGGTAAGGATGATAAAACTTCATGCCTTGCATACTTTGGACATGTTGCTAGGAGAGGCTATTCCTTGCAAAGGGACATAAGGCTTGGAAGGTGGAGGGTTAGCAAAAGAGAAGAAGACTCTCAACCAGATGGATTGACACAGGCACTGCTGCAATGGGCTCTAGCGTAACAGAGATTGTGAGGATGGCACAGGATAGGACAGGGTTCAGATCTGATGTTCATGGATAGCTATGGGTCATATTTAATAGCACCTAACAACAATTACAGCTGGAAAATTTAAGATTGCATGTCAGAGCTTGCATTGTATCTGGGGGCAGTGCTCTATTATATGATTTCGTGGATTGGAAGGGAAATTGGAGCTGAACTTTTCAAAATCGATCAGGGTAGAGGTCTGGAAACCTAAAGCAAGGCCAAACACCCTTTTGCACTTTTGGTGAAAGTTGTGGACACTGTCTTTTGAAAAGAGTGTACACACACACACACACACACACACACACACACATTTTGCATGTAATTTCCAACTGCCTCTCATCAATGCCTCTTGATGTTCGAGAAATTGATTCATCCATCTTTGGCTAGAACAGTACATAGAAAGAGAATCGCCAGAAGTGCAAACAGGATTTAGAAGAATCCATGGCACCAGGGAGATCATTGCTGATGTCAAATGAATCCTGGCTGAAAGCACAGAATATGCCAAGAATGTCTATTTATTCAATATTGACTTTGCAAAAGCATCTGACTATGTGGATCATAACAAATTATGACAAACATTGAGAAGAATAGGAATTCCAATCGCTTCTCGGTCTTTTGGCTAAGCTCAAGTGTAGTATATGTTCTTATCAGAAAAATAGGAATTCCAGAACACTTAATGAATTGTGCTCATGTGACACCTATACTTAGACCAAGAGGCTATTGTGTGAACAGAGCAAGGGAACACTACATTGTTTAAAATTAAGAAGGGTGTGCATCAGGGCTGTATATCCTCTCCCCATACCTATTCACACATCTATATGCTAAACAAATTATTCAAGAAGCTGGACTCTATGAAGAAGAATGTGATATCAGGATTGGAGGAAGGGCTGACTCATCAATAACCTTTATGCAGATGACACAATTTTGTTTGCTAAAAGTGAAAAGGACTTGAGTCCTTGCAGCAGAAGAGCAAACAATACAGTCTTCAATATGGATTGCATTTCAATGTCAAGAAAACAAAAATTCTTACCATTAGATGGATATAGGCAACATCATGACAGATGGATAAAAGATTGAAACTGTCAACAACTTCATTTTGGATCCAAATAAAAAACTCCTGGTGCCATCAGTCAGTAGATTAAGAAACATGCTGCACTGGGAAAGTCTGTAGTTGGGGACCTCGCCAAATTATTGAGGAACAATGGTGTCAGTTTGAGGACTATGGTGTACCCGATTGAGGCCATGATATTCTCAATAATTTTCAATACATCTGAGAGCTGAACAATAAATAAGAATGACAGAAGAATTGATACCTTTGAACTATGGTATTGGAAAGGAGTACTGAATATCCTGTGTAGTGTCAAAAGAACAAACAGATATATCCTTGGAAAAGTGCAGCCAGAGTGCTCCTTGAGGGCAAAGATGACAAAGCTACTTCTCATATACTTTGGACAAGTTGCTAGGAGAGGATATTCCTTAGAAGGGGACGTCATGCTTGGGAAGTTGGAGGGTCAGCAAAAGAAAGGAAGACCCTCAAGCAGATAAATTGACACAGTGACTGAAGCAATGGACTCAAGTGTGCCAGGTGTTGTGGATGGCACAGGATAGGACTGGGTTCAACTAGGATAGAACAGGGTTCAGATAGGAAAGGAGAAGGTTCAGGTCTATCGTTCATAGGGTCTTATAGGCCATCCTCAACTTGACGGCACCTTCCAAGAACAGTAATCCTTGGTTGATTTATTATTTCAGTGGATCTTCCTTTGGCCTGGATTACAGGTTCTGTGCTGCTGGGAAAAACTCAGAAAGCAAAAGGGCGATTTGTTTCTCCTTTGTCCTTCTTACTTTTCTTGCAGAAGCAGGACACCTTCAAAGGAAACGAGCAGAGAGTAAAAGCCACATAAAGGTAATGCACGTGTTTCAGTAACACGGGGTCTTGCTGAGTTATGCCAGTGGTTACTGTAAGCAAATAGTGATGTGGTTGAAGAAAGGGAGCATTTCCTCAAACCTGGTTTCCAAGCACCTTTCCCGAGTGGTGAGTTTCCTGGTTCCTAGATGACACTCTAGACCTTGTGTTCAGTCTCAGTCCTCCTGCTGTGTGTCACCTCACACTTGCTACAGGGGTTGGGAGCAGACGCTGTCCTCTGTGATCTTGGTGGCCCTGGCGAATCTATGCTACTGCTCTCCTTTTTTCAGGTCCTTCTTATTTCCGCTCTGCTCTCTTTTGAGCTCCAAGGTGTGGTGGGAATCCTGGCGTTCCCAGAGTACTCCCTTTGCATCTGTTCCAGGACCTGGAGAGCAGATGCAGCAGGGACTCACCATGAACTCCACATCGTACTGGGGCGCCAGCACAGTGACCACCCCCGCCCTGAAGGACAGCACTGTGGTCATGCGAACCTGCAGCAGCACCAGGGCATGTGTGAGGACGCATCTGGGGTGGGCTACGGTGGGCGGCAGGGCCAGGCTGGGGAGATGGGTGGCGGGGTGGCGAGGGTGGGAATGACAGGCTTTGACTTCCCAGTATAAGCCCAGAACTTGACCTTGTATAGGCTGAGCACCAAGCAGACTGAAATGGTGGAAGCTGTGAGGGATACTGTGAGGCAGCCCTGGGGTTGGGGAGGGCAGGGGAACCTGGGGAGGGAGAGGGTGGTCAGGGGAAAATGGGGAGGAGGTGGGCAGGGGAAACTGGGGAGGGAGTGGTCAGGGGAAACTGGAGAGGAGGTGGTCAGGGGCTGGTAGGTCCATTCTCTCCTCTGTGGGCAGTTCTTCTGATCTTCAGCCCTGAAGTACTTTGTATAGTCAGTGTTTACTATTTGCAACTCTGACTCTCTCTCCAGTGACAATATAGGGATGATTGAAGTGTAGGTTGACTATAAGGTGTGACTGTATGTTTGCTGGGGTTTCTGGAAGTTGGCAGATGTGACTATGGGCATGATATCCCTGTGGACTGGGCATGTGGGAAGGCATCTCGTCATTCACGTCTGTGCCTTCCTGTGTGCCCTTAGATCCATCCATTCCTTGTCCTTTCCTGGCTTTGCTCTGAGCTGTCAGGAGAGTGGAAAGTGGGAAAAAGAAAGAAGGGATTTCCCTTGCCCCTTTCCGGCTTTTGGCTGTGTCTCCATAGTGGATGCATCTGCTCCTTGGCCCCACCTCCCACTAGACCTATCTCTGAGCTCTGGAAACCCTTTCTCTTCCTGTTGTCGCTCTAACCTGGATGTGTCAGAAACTTCTGCATGTTGTTAACGTCGGGGCTACTTCCCTAGGCCCTGGTTGTGAATGTAATTCTCTGCATTGAATTTCCTGGTTTACGCACCCAGTGACATCTGTACTTTCGGATGGACTCTGAGTGATGTACCAATTAAGTTTCTTTGCTTGTTTTTGATTGTGGTGAAAACACACACACTAACACCTTGTCAATGCAACAGTATCCACTGACAGTGCATGGAGTAGTTGACGGGCAAATGGGTATCTTCCTTTCTCCTGCCAGATAGTTAAGGGAGAGGAGAGGGAACAGTGGGGTTCCTGCAGTCTGGAAACTTTTTTTTTTAATAATTTTAATGAGCATTTACAGTGATTTTGGATTTCCATTCATTCATTGCTGCACTTCTCTCCCTCCCCATCCCTCCCCCTCCCCCAGTTCACTCCTCTCTTTCAAAAGTAAAAGAAACACTCCTTCGGTATCTGGGACCGGCTGTTCCAGCTTCCAGCTAGGAGAGGCTCTCCCGAGGAGGAGTAGGATGGGAGGTGGGGGTTATAACCAGAAGCTGCACCCGAGGAGACAGGCATCTGAAGGTGTACTGGGGAGGAGACAAGGCCGTCCTAGACCGTATTTCTGTGCCAGACAGAACTGCTGGATGGAAAAGCTGAGAAAAGGAATCTAGCTGGAAATACATTCCACTGACTTGTATAAATAATGCTTGACCCTAAAGCCTTCTTACCTCTTTCCAGAGCATCCCCTGGGGTGAGACGTGGTGGAATCCCTTGCTCTTTGCAAGGGGACACAGTAGTGCAGGACAGGGTGTCTTTGCCAGTTCTGAGTCTTAGATTTCTCCCCACTAATGTGCCCTTTTGCATCCCCTTCTTGACGACTGAAGCAACCCTCCAGCACCAACGAAGTTCAGGAGAACGTCCCAAAGAAGCAGAGAAAAGTGAAGAAGAGAGTCATGTGGGGTGTCCAGGTGGCTGAGGAGCTGTGCTGGAGGGGCTGGGAGCTGGGGAAGGAGATGACCAGGATCCTGAATCTGAAAAACCTATCCCTGACCGTGGAGAAGCTCACGTACAGGTACCGATGTGAGGGCTGGAAGGGTCAGGGACTCAGTGCCTGCACCCTGAGCTCTCAAACCAGGAGCTCCTATGATACTGTCTAAAATCATTGGTGTAAAACATGCACAATCCCTATGATCAGATTGAAGAACGATTAACAACAATGTCCTTGTTTTGTCCTTTTATTTATTTGAGAGAGAGTTTACAGATCATATTGATTTTTCATTCACATTACACTTTGTTCTAGAACATAAATACATTCTCACTGGACCATTCATTCATATGTTACAATATTAGTTATCGTTGATTAATGTAATTAATTCATCACAATGTCTAATCAACCTCATATTATGTATTGCCTTTCTTTCACCTAATTTATCTACTATTTTTTTTTTTGCTTAGTGTTAAAAGTTTTTTAAATTCAAGTGAAGGCGTCTAAACCATATTGATTTTTCATATAATCATTCATAGACTTTTTGTTTTAGAGCATAAATTACCATTGATTAATGTGATTAATTGATTACAATGTCTAACCAACTCTTTATTATGTGAACATTAACGTCTGGAAGTTCACTGTCCCCATTATACATACCTCTACTGTTGGAGTCCCTTGAGGTAATCTACCTGTGCTTGTATCCCTAGGGGATAGGGTTTCATTTTATCTCCTTGTGAACTTTGTAAGGAGTGCTGGCAGCGTAATGCGTCATGCATTAGGCTGCAGATTAAGCAGAGTGATTAGAATCCAGGAGTTGCTCCTCAGGAAAATGCTGGCAGAGTCTCTTGCAAATATTTAAAGCCTCAAAAATCTGATGGGGAGTGACTGTGAGTCAGGATGACTCGATGGCAGTGGAATTCCCTGCCTTTTTTTTAATTGATATTTTAATGACAGTTCATAGAGAACATGGACTTCCATTCATTCATTGTTACACATTTACCTCTCTGCCCAGCCCACCCTCCGAGTTCACTTTTCTCTTTGAAAAAAAAAAAAGGAAAAATCTTTCATTGTTATACAATCCCCACCCCCAGTCCACTTTACTATGCAGCTCTGATCCTGGACTATTGTCATGTGAATGATACCTAATCATATATTCCTTTTAAGCAGTTCTCTCCCTCATCTGTTTCAATGTAGTATATATTATTTATCCCCTCTTTTCTTAGTTTCTCCTCAACCCCCCTGGTTTGTTTTTTTCTCTTTTTTTTTCCTTTTACAGCTCCTTAATTTTGGATGATTTACATTCCTCCCTGGGATTCAGGAGCTTCAGATCCTGAATTTTCCACACTTTATCATTTGAATGACATATTGTCTTTAATAAATCTCTTTAATGCCCTTTAACAGAGATGTTTCTTTACAACAGAAGAAAGCCTAATAAGCATAAATTTTCACTTTGTGGACTTCCTTATCATCACATTCCCTGTGTCTGTTGTAGTAATAGAAAGTATTGTCCCTTCTCTGCAGTTTCTTCACATAGCCTGTCTCCGGCCAACGATCTACCATAGAAACTTGTTTCACTTGTTTATATTCAATCTCATCTCTATATCCTGCTTTTTGAAATCAGTACAGATTTTCGATCTCTTCTGACCACTTTTTGGCACGACTAATTGATTTTGGTTTTGCATCACAACTAGCCATGGCTGCAGAAGTCTTTTTATCAGTGATTTTCTCTTCACTATCTTGTGGCTGGGGCACAATGGTTTCCTTTTTCCATTTTCTTACTTGCTTAGAGTCACTCAAAGCACTGTCATCCATTTACTCAAGTCATTGTGGTACACTGTCCTGAGAACAAGGACCGCAATGGCAGGTCCGGGTCTGGGGGCGGGCCACCGGAAGGGTTCCCCCCCCCCCCCGTTTTATAACAAATATTCAGTATTTTTGTCCTTTTGTGACTGAGATATTTTACTCAGCATAATGTCCTCCAGGGTCACCCATTTTGTGTAATATTTCATGAGTTCCTTGTTTTTCAATGCTGCATAGTATTCTGTTGTGTAAATATACGACAACGTCTCTATCCATTTGTTTGTTGATGGGCATTTGGGTTGTTTCCAGCTCTTTGCTGTTGTGAACAACGCAGCAATAAACATGGGTGTGCATATATCTGCTTCGGTGGCAGTTATGATTTCTTTGGGGTATATCCCCAGTAGTGGAATTGCTGGGTCAAATGGTATTTCTATTTCCAACTTTTTGAGAAGGCGCTATATCACCTTCCAGAGTGGTTGCAACCAGGCAGAGGATTTTTTAAAAAGGACTTTCATATATATACATGAAACAATGTGATATTCTTTTGTAATTCCTTTTTTCTCACCTGAGTTTGGGGTTCATCAGTGATATTCTGCAGCAATCATTTGCTCCTTTGCACTGCAGTATAGTATTCCAAAATATGCCTACCATAATATACTTATCAGTTCTTCTTCTGTCTTGTGTAGATAATGCTGTGCATTGTTCACAGAGTAGCACTATTTTCAACATCCAGATATACATCTCCAGTCGCACAGATGCAAGAGTTTTTCCTCAGATATAGGTGATGCATACACAGGAGTGGAGTTGTTGGGACTTGGGATGCTTATGTGTTTTTTTTTCTTGTAGATAAAGCCAGATATTTTCAGAAACCAGCTATTACCCATTTGCATTTCCACCAGTGTGTCTGAGAGTTCCTAGCCCTCCACATCCTTGACAACAAATGCTGTTGTCAGACTTTAACATGTTTGCTAATAATGAATATGGTACATATATTTGAAAGATAGTGGTATTCCCTGGACTTTCTTGTATGTGTATGGATATTATTCTGTCAACTCACAACATTTCAAGATGTATCCATAAATTACTTTTTAACTATGAAAGCAACCCCACTTTTCCTCACCTTTTCATCTCCTGCCTGGTAGATCATATGATTGTCTGATTCAAAATGTTCCATGCCAATCCATCTCATTTAGCCCATCTGTCAATATATGTGTCTTCCATTTCTTTCCTTGGTTTTAGTTTTAAATTCTAGTTGATAATGGAAGCAGGAGTGGCATATACTTCCTAAACAGCATGCCTCTGGAAACTCTGTGAACTTTGATAAATGGCTGTGGTTGTGGAAGGGCTCCAGGCCTTTTGGTCATGGGGTCACTATGAGTCATGCTTGACTCGATGGCAATCAACAACAATAACAGTTGATAATGAGGTTGAATATTTTTTCACATGCTATTGACATGCAGTTTTCATTTGTGAAATCTCTGTTCAAGTCTTTGCCCATTTTTTCTCTCTCAGATTGCCTGTTTTGTTAATGTCGGCTTGATTTGTAACAAGGTCTTCTCTTGAATACTAATCTTTTGCCAGTTATGTGTTGTGAACATGACACTTGGCTTTGCCTCTCTTTGTTGTATCTTGTGAAGAATAAACATTCTTAAAATAAAAATAATGACCACAACAAGATAAAGGTAAATAACCCAATTGAAAAATGGGCAAAGGATATGAACAGACACTTCACCAAAGAAGACGTTCAGGTGGCCAACATGAAGAAATGTTCAAAATTCCTAGCTCTAAGAAAGATGCAAATCAAAACAACTATGAGATATCATCTCACCCCAGTAAGAATAGCAATTTTTAATTTTAACAAACAGCAAACAACAAATGCTGGCGAGTTTGTGGAGAAACTGAAATCCTTATTTACTGTTGGTGGGAGTGTCAAATGATGTAATCACTATGGAAGGCAGTGTGGCGCTTTCTCAAAAAGTTGCAAATAGAAATACCATTTGACCCAGCAATTCCACTACTGGGAATATACCCTAAAGAAACCATAACTGCCACCCAAGCAGATATATGCACAACCATATTTATTGCAGCTTTGTTCACAGTAGCAAAGAGTTGTAGCAAAGTGCCCATTAACAAATGAATGGATAGAGAAGCTGTGGTATATTCACACAATGGAATACTGTGCAGCATTGAAAAACAAGGAACTCATGAAATATTATACAAAATGGATGACCCTGGAGGACATTATGCTGAGTGAAATATCTCAGTCACAAAAAGACAAATACTGCATAGTGCCACCGTTATAAAAGAAGACTGACATAGGGGTTGAGGGGAGACTGAGAAAGAGGAGATAAGTAATGTATACTGCATTGAAACAGATGAGGGAGAGAACTCTTTAAAAGGAATATATGATTAGGTATTATTGTCATGACAGGAATCCAGAATGAAGGCAGCACAGTGGAGTGGACTTGGGAGGAGGGATTTTATAACAATTAAAGAATTTTTCTTTTACCTTTCAAAGAGAAGAGCAAACTAGGGGAGCAGGGGAGGGGAAGGGCAGGGAGAAAAGCACAACAATGAATGAATGGAAATCCGAAGTCTCTGTAAACTTTCATAATAATAATAATAAAATCAAGGTAATGGCATTTATCTATTGTTTTCTTTTAAGGATGGTGCTTTTTTTCTCTTGCCTAAGAAATCCTTCTGTACTTCTAGGTCATGAAGATATATTCTCGCGTAGTTTCTTATAAAAGCTTTGTAATTTTACCTTTCACATTTAAGCCATGTGTGTATGTGTGAGCGAGTGTCTGTGAGTGGTTTCAAGTAGGGATGGATCCAAAGAGATTTTTTTTCTTAATGTCCAGTTGTCCCAACACTGTTTATTGAGGTGTTTATACTTTCCCTGCTAATCTCATATACCCTACATATATATTGTGTCCACGTATGTGAGTCAAAGAAGCCCTGGTGGTCTAGTGTGTAATGTATCAGGCTGCTAACCAGAAGGTCAGCAGCTCAAAACCACCAATTTTTTTTCTCATTCCCCATGAGAAAAAATTGGACAGTCTCCTCCTACCAAGACATATAGCCCAGAAAGCCCAATAGAACCGACTTGATAGGAGGGGAGTAGGTTTGGTTTTGGCATGTAAGGGTCCATTCCTGGACTCTACTTGTTCCTTTGATCTCTACTTGTACCCACCAGCAGCTCTGTAGGATGGAGGACCTACTCTTGTAACGACCACAGCCTACAGAACCCTATGGGGCAATTCCATCCCCCTATAGTGACCCGTAGGATCACTCTGAGTTGGGATCAACTCAACACCCAATAGATAATACATCATCAACATTGTTATTTAATCTTGCATCAGTCTTGTTCTGTTCTATTTTCCTAGAAATATAATTATTTTATTGAAGCATTAACACTTATTGGCAGAGTTGTTGAAAATATGCTCTGACAAGTATTTTTTTAATGAATTGTGACCCACCAGGACTTGACAGCTCTGCGAAGATCTCTGCTGGGAAGGAACCCAGTACCTCCCTTCCCAGCCCTGGTCCCCCAAGCCAAGCGCCCAGGGATTTTGTGAAACCGAGGCAGCCCTCTCCCCGACTTTGTCCCCATTCACCTCCTCACTGAGCAGAGGTGCACACACTGCAGCTTTGTCCCAAGTGTTTTTATTCCGCACCCTGACGTCCTGGAGTAAGATCTGAGAGAAATGCAGGGGCCACAGGGGCCGTGTGAGCCCTGGTGATACAATGAATAAACACTCAGCTGTTAGTCAAAGATAGTGGTTCAGACTCACCGAGCACCTCCTTCAGAGAGAGGCTTGACCATGCGCTTCCTTAAAGATCATGGTCAAGCCCACTTTCTGGGAAAGTTCTGCTGTCATAGGGGTCACTGTGAGTCAATCACTCAGTGGCACCCAGCAATAACAACAACGATAACAATAACAACAGGACCTGGTGACAGGGCTCCCATGACTCCCCTCCGTGGAGCCATCACCAGAGTGGCTTCCTCCAGGGTCCCAGAGACTCCTGTCACCTCTCTAGAGTCCCCCTCAGCCCTTCCTCCCCATTTTGATTCCTCAGCACCCCTCCTGAACTGCTTCTCCCCGGGCTTTCTCCTGCAGTTCTCCCAAGACAAAGTTCTTCTCCACAGTTATCCCTCAGCCCATCTTACTGAGCCCAGGCATTACCTTCTCCCTCCCCATCTTCTTCCGGCCAGTGGAGAAGGTAAGGTCCACACAGTATGAAGAAGGTAGGGTGGGGTGGGGGAACAGGACAACTGTGACCAGTCACAGAACAAGAGGCGGAGCAGAGCAGGTGTTTCTCCCAGCACTCACGCTTTCTGCTGGCCTGCAGGACACCAGCTGGCTCTCAGAAGAGGCCTGGGCACTATTCTCCTTGGGCAGAGGGAATTTCTGGCCGGATATAGGGGGAGCTGTGGTTTGTGAAGGAGGCACCACATCTCTGAGACTTAGGCAGCGTTATTGACTGAGAGGGTGGGTGTGGCCCAGCCCAGCTCCTCCATCACCGCATCATGGGGTGGCTGAGGGCTGAGGTGGGATGCGTGTCCCTGACAAGCGCCTGCCTTTGCCCACCCCCCCTGCTCCTGATGCTGCAGAAGGAATACAACGACCAGCTGTGGTTTGAGAAAGCAGAAGGGAAGTTCTGTGTGAACCTGCGGGCCATGCTGCCGTGTCACAGGCTGAGGTGCCCACCATCCCTGCAGCTGCCCATGTGTGCCTTGGGGGACACGGCTGAGGCCTCGTTCAGCTTGGAAAATGTGGGGTGAGGCCCATTCTTTCTCATAGTGAGGAGGGTGCCTGGGAGCCAGAGAGCCTGGCATAACTGGGGCGGGAGCATGGTGGAGGGAGGCCTGCCAGGTCTCTCCAGCTTTCTGAAGCAGGATGGGCACCCCAGGAAGCCCAGGAGCTCTGACCTGCCCCTCACCTTCGCTCCCCCCTCCCCAGAGACCTGCCGACCTTGTTTAGCTGGGAGGACTCCAAACCCTTCCAGATGCTGCCTGCCACTGGGCAACTGGAGGTGGGCCAGGCCTGCCAGATCAAGGTGACCTACCAGCCACTTATGGCTGTCATCTACAAAGTGCCAGCCACATGCTGCTATGGGGTTGAAAACAGGCAGAAGACCACCATCCAGCTGCAGGCTGTGGGTGAGGCCCCACCTCACCTGTTGCCAGTCCTGCTCCACCTCCTTGGGTCTTAGAACCTCACTGGGGCCTCCTGCCCTGTTCCCCTCATGACCTCCCCACCCACCTGCCCTCCAATTGGCCCTGCCAGCTTCCCCTTCCTTAGGCTTGCAGGCTGGCTCTCCCTGGGGACATTCTTGGAGGGCTGCCCCACTGGGGTCCCAGAGGCACTAGCTGGTGACACACCAGAGTCCTCCCTGCTCTCTGTCCCAGCCAAGTGCGGCCAGCTGCTGGTGGGCATAAAGCAGAAGCGGCTGGAGGACGGGGATGGGGAGGGCTGCCAGAAGGTACTGCACTTTGGCTGTGTCCCCGTGGGCTGCACCGCAGAGAGGAAGATTGAGCTGTTCAACCCCTCCGAGGTTAGTGCCCTGGGGAGAAGCAGAGATGCAGGCCTCCCCCTCCTCCCGCCCCCCCCAGACCTCCTCCCCACACTTCAGCTTCCAGCCTTCTGTATCCACATCTGTAAACGACCCTCTCCTCTTAGCTGGGGCAGCCCCCAAAACACGGAACCCCAAGCACATCCCAAGAAGACAACAGATGCTCTCTGGGTGGTCCAGGTCTCCCAGCAGCACACACCTTTTGTGCTTGGAGACTAAAGACTGATATTTGAGACCTACTCAGAGGCAGCACCCTGGCAGAAAGGCCTGGCAATCTGCTTCTTTGAAGATTGCAGCCAGGAAAGCCCGGGAGCTCAGTTCTGCCCCATGACACAGTGGTCGCCAGGAGTAGGAATGAGCTCCTGGGTGACTGAGTTGCACGTTTTGGTGGCTGGGTGGTCGCAGGGCGGGCCCGTGACTTGGTGCCTTCTTCCTTTCGGTGGAGAAACCCCCCCCCCCACATACAGCCTGATGAAGGGGGCACAGGCTGGATACCAGCTGCCAGTACCCCCTCAGCTGAGCCCCTCCACATGACCCGCAGACTGTCCCACCCCGTCACCTGACTCTTCCCTGCCCCACCTGGCCCCGCAGGTGAACGTCCCCTTTCGCATCGAAGTGGCTCGGGATCGGGACACTCTGATCCAAGACCAGGCCTTTTTGTGTGACATGAGTCTGGGTGTTGTACCCCCAAGAAAGAAGGAGTACGTGTCTGTGCTCTTCCAACCCAAGACCCTGGACTCGAGAACTGTGGATTACATCTCCATCGTGCATTCGGACTGTACCTCCCAAAACCCGCTCAAGGTTGTGGGCTTCTGCAAAGGTAACTGGCGCCCAGGGATTCAGCCCCTCATGGAGACAGGGGCAGCACTACTCTGTTGTGTTAGGTGCCAGTCGATTCCAGCTCCTAGCGACCCTCTGCACAGCGAGGCGAAACCCTGGCCAACCCCACGCCATCCTCAGTCTGTGCTCTGCTAAGTGTGTCCTTGTCGAGGCCCCGCCTCAATCATCTCCTTGAGCATCTTACTCTTTTTCACTGACTTTCTGCTCTTCCAAGCTGGACGCCCTTCTCCGGGGACTGGCCCCCCTGATAACGTGCCCCAAGTGTAGAGACGAAGTCGGGAGACTTCCTCAGTTCTACGGAGGACTCTGGCTGTACTTCTTTCAAGATAGATTTGCTCTTTTGGTCCAACACCACCATTCAAACGTATCACTTCTTCTTTGGTCTTTTATTCGTTTTCCTGGCCCAGATTTCCTGCGGGCTGGCTGGCTTGGATGTCTGGCCTGTCAAAGGGCCTTGGTTCATTGCTCTGCCGCCTGTGTGTCTGCTGACCCCTAGTGGACACCCTGAGGAATTGCTGTGGCCGCCAGAGATTGGTCTTCTCAATCACTTGTGCGTCTGAGAGTTGGACAGTGACTAAGCATGACACAGAAGAGTCGATGCCTTTGAGCTGTGGTGCTGAAGAAGACTGTTGGACACACCACAGACTTCCAAGAGAACAAGCGAGTCTGTCCTGGAAAGGGTGAAACCAGGTTGCTCCTTGGAGGCAAGGCTTTTGAAGCTCTGTCTCACACACTCTGGGCACGTGGCCGTGTGAGACCAGACCTTGGAGAAGGACATCATGCTTGGAAGGGAGGAGGGACAGCACAGGAGAGGAAGACCCCGGATGAGATGAATTGACACAGTAACTGGGGCGATGTGGTGAGGGGTGTCAGAGCAGGTGAGGTTGGCTCAGAACAGGTCCAAGTTCAGAGCTGTTTGCTCATAGAGTTGCTGTGAGTTTTTGTCGACTTGACAGCATATAACAACACACCACAATCACGCTCACCTGAGGAAGGAGACCTGAATCCTGCCCTACCCTGTGCCAGCCTCACAACCTCTGATATCCTTGAGCCCACTGCTGCACTCACGGTGCCAATCCATCCCGTCGAGGGTCTGGTGGCTTGGTGGTAAGGAAGTGTACTGTCAGCGCAAACATACGTGATTTGAATCCACAAGTTCTGTGTGATTTACTGCCTCTGAAAACCCGCTGGAAGGTCAGCTATGGGTTGGTTCTGGCTCGATGGTCCACAAGAACACATCACCTCTGGAAGGAACTCCGGTGTCCATAGGGAGTTGCACTCTTAACCCAAAGGCAGCTAGACTGACAATTCTAATCCACCACCGACACCTTGAAGAAGGATGTGGAACATCCTGGTGTGTGAATTACAGCCTCGGAACCCAGAGGAGGGTCAGCTGGTTCCATCTCGATGGCTATGGGACTGCCCCTGGTGACGGTCAAGTGCCTGGCCTTCCCAGGCTGGTCTTCTGTATCCATCAAGGGCCCCTTCTGAAACACCCTTGGGGAACCTCAGCTCACAGAGCCGCTCACAGGACTGTCTCCTGCGCCAGGTCCGGCTGTGTCTCTGCAGCATGAGCACGTCAACTTCGGCTGTGTCACCCTTGGCTCAAGCGTGAAGAAGACCCTGTGGATTGAGAACAAGGTGGACTGCACCGCCTACTTCCAGTTTGCCATTGATTGTCAGGAGAGCGTCTTCAGCATCAGCCCCGTCTTGGGGACCCTGGTGGGCAAGACCCGCAAGACCCTGCTCTGCACCTTCCAGCCGACTCACCCCATCATCTACTTCCGAAGGGTGACCTGTCTCGTCCACCACCAGGTGAGTGTGGGAGTGAGGTCAAAAGAGTAGCTGCTCCCAGGACAAAGGCCAGTGAGAAAGACAAGGACCGCTTGGGAATCTCCTGGTCTGTCTGCCTGGAATGTTTCCTTCTCCAGGGGCACTTGGGAGCTAGGAAGGTGGGGTTGCCAGCTTCCACTTGACTGCTGCCCACCCAAGGATGTCTTGCTGCTGTTCTTGGGCTCAGAGAGAGGGAGCTTTGCTTCTTAATCCATGAAACACGTGCTAGGCAGGGGGCCTTGGCATTAGAATCCCAGCCCAGGCCCTAGGTAAGGTTGTACAACTGTGTCCTCCCCGCCTGGCCCAGGGGGTCAGGGGCTGGGATCTAGCCCATACTGTGTCTGCAAGTACTGTGCCCAGGCTCTGAGCTGCACCTGCCAGAGGAGTGGGGGCCTTTCCCTGGTGCTCATGAAGGCATTGTAAGGCTGGGCAGTCCAGGGGTGTCTCTCTCCTCCCCTCGGGAAGGCCTGGGCGCTGGTCTTGCAGGCCTCTTGGCTGGTAGCAGAATGGGCAATAGAATGCCCAGGAGCAGAGCAGGAAATGTGTCGTGGCCAAGTGCTCCAGCAGGCTGGGTGCTATTCTAGGTCCTGACCTTCCCCTGCTCCTGCCATCAGCCCAGCTGCCCAGGCAGCTACAGGGACACTCCCACACCCTACCAGCCTGCCAGCCTATCTGCCCTGCCGGCCACTTCATGCTGACTGTCCCCTCTGTCCTCACTTCTCCAGCCAGCACCCCTCTCACATGCACTGTTAATATTACAGGACCCAGTGTTCCTGGACCTGCTTGGGACATGCCACTCAGACAAAGTCAAGCCAGCCATCTTGAGGCCCCAGCACCTGACTTGGTACCGCACTCACCTGGCACAGGGCCTGGCGCTCTACCCTCCCAACATCCTGGGTACCATGTTGAACGAGAAGAAGCTAGAGTTGGATGAGAATGGGGCCCTCAAGATCCCCCCTGAGGTATGAGCATCCTCTTCAGAGCGTCCTGGAGGCAGGCTTCCCCCTCGGGGAGTGCTCCCATCTCTAACATCCCTAGCTTGGCCCCCAACCCCAGAGCCCTTCAGGTACCATTAGTAGTTGGAGGTGAACTGTGTGGATCCCCTGTGGTCTTCTCTGGGAAGGAGTGGGCAAAAGAGGGGCAGTGGCAGTAGGGACTGGTGGGTGGATCCCAGATCACCTGTCTCTCCCTGTGCAGGACCTGGAGACCAGACCACTCCAGCAGTATGCTGCCATCTGTCACATGACTGAGAACCTCTGTGACAGAACCAGGGACATGACCACCTTCCCCCTGCCCATCAGCATAGAGCCCACGGAGGTGGACTTTGGTGCCTGTCCGGGGCCCAAACCCCCCAACCCTGTGCCCCTGCGCCTGATTAACTACACCAAGGGCAAAGTCACTGTGGTATGGACACACAGGCCCGACTGTCCCTTCTGGGTGAGCCCGGCCACCTGCGACGTGCCCCCGCTCAAGTCCACGGCCCTGCGTCTACACTTCCATCCGCACCCCAACTGCCTGTATGCCATGGAGCTGGAAGCCTTCGCGCTTTATAAGGTGTTCACCCCAAGTGCCAGGGTGGGTGGGGAGGCAGAGGGACATCGTGGGGACCCAGCCCCTCCGTGCCAAGCTTTTCTCACTCCCCTTCCTCTTCCAGGGTATAGCCTTCCTTGGGCAAGGGGTTTCTTGGCCCCTCTAAGTCTCACTCATATGTGCCCTCACAGCCCCTCCAGAGGTAAAACTCAACAGGGATCAGATGTGACACACAGTCTCCGAGGTTTGAGGAGTGAGCCCTTCAAAGGAGCTGTGACAGGTGGACAACAGGACCTGGAGGACAGTGTAGGGAAGTGCTGCCTGCAGGTCCACAGGCTGTTCCCAGCCTGGCACAGCCTCTTGGCCTGAGATCTGTGCCCACAGGGTTTATTGTTGTTGTTATGTGCTGTTGAGCTGCCTGCGACTCATAGCGACCCTGTGTACAACAGCCCTAAACTCTGTCCTATCCTGTGCCAACCTCACCATCTCCGGCACACCTACACCCACTACCCCAGTGACTGAATCAATCCATCTCATCAAGGGTCTTTCTCTCCTGCGCTGTCCCTCCACTCTCCCAAGCATGACGTCCTTCTCCAAGGACTGGCCTCTCCTTGCAATGTGTGCAAAGTATGTCAGATGAAGCTTCAGAATCCTTGCCTCCAAGGAGCAGCCCGGCTTCACCCTCTCCAGGACAAATCTGTTTTCCTAGCAGTTCGCGGTATATTCAATACTCTTCTCCAACACCACAGCTCAAAGGCATCAATTCTCCTTCTATCATCCCTATTCATTGCCAGCTCTCTGATGCATAGCAAGTGATTGCAAAGGCCATGGCCTGTATCAGGCGCACCTGTTTCCAGACTGGCATCTTTGCACTTCAGCACTTTAGAGAGGTCTCCAACCACAGACTTTCCTAGGGTTTGCTAGCTTGTAATCTCTATGGGAGTAGATTTCAGGTCTTCTCTCTCGCAGATGGGCTGATGGGCGTAAATTGCTAAGCTTTCAGTTGGCAGGGAGCACTTCACTTTTGCACCACCAGGGGTCCTTCAGCCCCAGCAATCCTGCCCTCCCCCTCTCTCCTCTGGCTCCGCCCACCTGCTCTCCTCTCCCCTCCCGTCCCCACCCTGCCCCCTAGTGGTAAGGGATGGAGGTGCCAGGGCACAGATGAGAGCTGTATGGTCAAGAACAGACATCACTTACACTAGCAGGCTGGGAAAGGTAGAGGGGTCAGAGAAAGAGAGGAAGACCCTCAAGATGACTGGACACGGTGGTTGTAACAATAGGCGTGAGTACGTCAGCGGTGGTGAGGATGAGGATGGCACTGGATAGGGCAAGGTTCAGGTTTCTTATTCATAGCGTCACTATGACACCTGACAACAACAAGAATCATGTGACTCTAATCAAGTTGTTTAGTGTCTCTGAGAGCTGGTCTTTCCATCTATAAAGATGAGTTCACATTGGAAATTTTGAGGGGCTTCCAAGTGTCCCTTTGTCACCTCCATTCTAATGTGTTAGCAGTAAGAGGTGTGTGGGAATAAGGGGATCGTCCAGAGGATTGGAGACCCAGCGTGTCAGATTTCCAGGTTACCGCAGTCAGCGCTGCATATGGTTCCTGAGCATTTGAGATGCCGCAGGTCCAGATCCGGACGTGCTGTGAGTGTAGAACACACTGGATTCCAAGGGCTCATATAAAAAGAAAATTGCAAAATCTTGGCTAATGATTTCCTCTGACTTGGATCCACAATCAGCACCCTTGGGACCAGCAGTCAGGGGGTCAGGGGATGTGTTGCTTTAGGCAAGTCTGCCATCAGGGACTTCTCCAATTATTGAAGAACAATGATGTCAATTTGAAGACTAAGGTGTTCTTGACTCAGGCCATGGTTTTTCTGATCACTTGCTATGCATCTGAAAGTAAGACAGTGAACAAGGATGACAGAAGAATTGATGTCTTTGAGCTCTGGTGTTGGAGAAGAGCACGGAATATCCCGTGGAATTCCAAAAGAATGAACAGATACGTTTTGAGAAAAGTACAGACCCAGCGCTTGTTAGACGCAAGAATGTCGTCCTTGCCAGGCTGCATTGGACATGTTGCTAGGAGAGGCTATTCCTTAGAAGGGGACATCGTGCTTGGAAAGGTGAAAGGTCAGCAAAAGAGAGGAAGGGCCTCAATGAGGTGGATTGACCCAGTGACCGTGACAGTGGGCTCAAGTCAGAGATGATGCAGACAACACTGACAGGAGAGGACTCAGGGCTGTTGTTCAGAGTTGCTATGGGTAGTACTTGTCTCAACAGCACCTAAAAACAACAATAATTTTCCGGTGCCTTCGTCTATAATGAGCACTATAACCAATGGCCGTGCCTCTGGCCATTCAGATCCACCTACAGTTCAGAGGGAGAGTTGAATGTTCCCCTCCTGGGTGGTTCACAACCTCAGAAACCCTGGAGGGTCTGCTGTGAGTCATTTCCAACTTGATGGAAGTGGGGGGCAGAGTGAAGGGGGAGAGGAGGGAGAGAGAAAGCTCATTTCTACAGAGGAGCCCTGGTGGCACAGTGGTTGAAGATTTGACTGCCAATCAAAAGGTCGGTGATTCAAATCCCCCAGCTGTTCTGAGGGATAAAGATGAAGCAGTTTGTTTCTAGAAACACTCAAGGGTTGGGACCATACCCCCACCCCGGGCCTTCTACTTGGTCTTTGAGGGACTGGGAGTCAGAGGCGACTTGATTGATGGCAGTGAGTTTGGTTTTCTGATTTGATTTTTACATACTGATTGCATGTTTAAAACGATAAGCCTCTTGGAGCCATAGGGTTAAATAAGCACATTATTAAAATGAATTTTGCATGGTTTCCTGTGGCTACTGGAGGCTTTGCAACTGCTGTGGTGGCTGGCAGCGTGGCTGTGTTGTATTTCTGTTGGACGCCTCTTCCCGAGACATTCCTAGGGAATGAATGCGGCTTTCACGGCTGCCCTTCTGGCCCAGCCCCACCCTCCTCCTGGACTGTCCTGAACATTCACTGGGGTGCTGGGTGCCCGGAGCAGGGCCTGGCACAGGAGCAAGGGTGGTACTTCAGCCATAGTTCTCCTCACTGCCCTCCAGACTGCCCAGGGCAGGACTCCTGAAGAATGGGGGCTGGGGCACATGCCCCAAGGGGTGGGCCCGAGATTCTGAGCTTTCTTTCTCCTTGACTTTGACCACCCCAGGTCCTGCAGACATACAGTTACATCGAGGAGGACTGCACAGTGTGCCCGTCCTGGTGTCTGACACTCAGGGTACGAGGCCACAGCTTCAGCACTGCCTTGGAGCACCCTGTCCCCCAGTACTCACTAGATGCCCCCACGGTGAGCATGGCCCCCGTGCCAGAGGGAGGTGGGCAGGGACCTCACGTGTATCTTGGCTGCAGATTCAAACTGACCCCCTCCCTCTGTTGGCCTCAGGAACATGTCACACCTCTCTCTCTCTCTCTCTCTTTCTCTCCTTGTCCATCCTCCCCTACCAGGCCCTGGGCTAGTGAAGAGTCCGCCTGGGTTGGGCACTGGGCCTGGGAGAGCAGGAGGGCAAAGGCCCAGCTAAAGGGGGTAAAGGGGACTGGACAGTCCAGTCCTACTCTTGTCTGAAATGCTGCTCTGGTCTAGAACATTTCAGCACCTTCTCTTGTCTGTGCTGTTTACCTGGTGTCCCAGGCCCTGGACCAGGCCCTAGAGAGACATCATCTGCACTGTGAGCCCTGTCCTGGGAGCACCCAGCCTGGCAAGGTCGGCAGCGCTGAGCCTGAGCTCAGGTCCCTTCCTCAGGGAGTCATAATCCCCAGGCCTCTCCTGAGGGCACAGGAGGCCTCATCTGACCCGAGAGGCAGGATAACATGGGACTTAAAAGCACTGACCAAAATACCAACCCAGCTGAGTGGGTGTGAGTCCTGGTTTCCCCTTTGATGTCTCCTCCCATCCCAGCTCCTGTTAGCAGAGTCACTGTTTCCACAAGGTTTTCACTGCCTCCCCAATCCCACACCCTACTATGTGGAAAAGTGCTCAGGGGCAACCATGCTCCCCGCCAGTCACCCTTCTGCCTGCAGAACACATGTATGCACACCCACGCTTATTGCTGCTTTATTCACAACAGCAAAGAGAAGTAAACAACCCAAGTGCCCAACAATAAATGAATGGATAGGAAAGCTATGGTACATCCACACAATGGAATACTGTGCAGCATTGAAAATAATTAAATAGTAAAACATTACACAACACGGGAGAGCTTTGAGGACATTATGCTAAGTGCAATATCTCAGTCACAAAAGGAGAAATCCTGCATAACACCGCTGTTAAAAAATAGGACAGATATGGGAGATTGGAGTGGGAATGGGGAAAGAGTGGATAGATGATGAACACGGTATTAGAACAGACTAGGAGAAGAACTGTTTAAAATGAATACATGATTATACACTATATGCAAGAGAACAGTCTGGAACAAGAGGTGCTTTGCAGGGTGGGCTAGGGAAGGGAGAGGTTGTGGGGAAGAAAATGTGCAACAGTGAATAAATAAAAGAGAAAAAAAGTAAAACCGTAAATGCACACCACCCCTGAGAATCACCTCCTCCTGGACTGGACAGTCCCTCAAAGTCTACTCCCCTGCCCTCTTCAGAGCCTTCACACAGAGGCTAGGCCCAGCAGCACGTGATCCACACATCCCCACTGTTGTTGAAGTTGAATGTCAACCAGAGGTCAGGGATTTCAGCCTTGTGCTTGTAGCCTAGTCAGCTCTAGCCAACTGCTGGTCTACCCAGCATGCTTCCGGTGTTTGGGTGCTGGAATTGTACGGATTTTCTCTGAGTGGCTTCACCTTCGTCTGTCTGCATCGGAACAATCTAGGAGTTGTTTACCCCAAAGCTTCTGGACTAGGATCTGTGAGAGTAGGTCCTCCAAAGGGTGATTAGAGTGGACCCTAAAATGAAAGGATTTCTACTCTGACCTTGAGGGAAGGGTCTTGGAGGAGTGGATTTCGGGGTTACCCAGCCTCTCTGGAGAACAGAAGCATTCTGGGCACCTGGTTGCAGCCTCCCTCAATTCCTTGCTCCCAGGGCATTGAGAATATCAGGGGGAACATCTAAGATCCCCAAACAATTCCTGGGGCTGGAAGTGGAGCTGTGAGCATCAGTCCCTCCCTCCTTTCCCCTCCCACAGCTGTTTCCTGCTGTGTCTCCTGGAAAACCTTCCTACCGAACCCTGCTCCTCATCAACATAGGCACCATAGGGATGACCTTCAACTTGGACCGCAAAAGCAGCTCAGACATCAGCCTGCGACCCACCTCAGGCCTCGTGGCCCCCACGAACCACCAGATCTTCCTCATCTGCACCTACCCCAAGGGTAACTCCTGGAAGCAACACCTTCTCTACCTGCAGTTCAACTTCTACCCCAAGTTTCTCAAGGTAGGAAACGGACCCGTTTGGAGGATTGTTGTTGTTGTTACATGCCATCGATTTGGAACCAACTCCTAGCTGACCCTCCAGCGGGGTTTCGGAGGCACGGGAGGAGACTTCCCATCTTTGTCTCACAGAGCAGATGGGGCATTCCGGCTGCCTGCCTTTGGCTTGTCAGCATGCTTACCCCCTAGACCACCTCCCTTTTCAAAGCCTCGCTCTGGAGCTTTGCAGCCCTTTCTGAAGGAGCCACTCCCTCTCTGGGTGGAGACCCCTCAGCCATGTTTATCTGGGAACTGCTCTCTCATAGGTCAGGACCCTCCCTAGCCATCTTATGGGACCAGAGACCAGGAAAAGGGGCCAGGAGTCCCCAGTGGAAGGAGCTAGAGGACATGGACATGATAGATTGCGTTTACCACGTCTGGTCCCATTCTCTGGCCTCTATATGTCCTCTCCAACCCTGAGTCTTTTTCAAGGACCACCACCTGGACCAGTCCTACTCCCTGTACCTTTGGGAAAAGCTCACGCTGGAGGTGGGAGGCTGAGGGAGGGTCTTCTGCTGCCCCCCTGTCGCTTCTTGGGGCTTTAGAGGAGGCAGGGCAGCAGGGTGAGATTACGCCACCAACCTCTGCCTCTGGTCCCAGGAGGTGAGCCTGCACAGCCGGGAGGAGCCACTGCAGATGAACCTGGACACCTCCAAGAACATCTTCTTCAAGCCCACGTGGGTGGGCTGCTCCTCCACCAGCCACTTCACCATACATAACCCCACACGTCTGCCCCTGGAGTTTGAGTGGAGGATCTCCGAGCAGCATCGCAAGATGCTGGCTGTCCAGCCCAGCCGGGGCCTCATCCAGCCCAATGAGACCATAGTGAGTGTCTTCCTCCCAGCCAGGGACTGCAAGAAAGGGCGCCCGTCACAGGCCACCGCCTCGTGTGCCCCTCCCATTCAGTCCACGGTCCCCTCGCTGCAGTCTGTTAGGTTATGAACAAAAGTATCTCAGCCCTGTCCTGTCCTGTGCCGTCCTCACAATCTCTCACACACTTGAGCCTGTTGCTCCAGTCACTGTGTCAATCTACCTCACGAGGGTCTCTTCTCTTAGCTGACCTTCTGCCTTTCCAAGCATGATGTTCTTTTCCAAGAACTTGCCCGTCCTAACAACCTGCCCCAAATATGTCAAGGAAGCATCATCATCCTTGTCCAAGGATCAAGTATTACCACTATCACCTCCCTTTTAGAGTTGAGACGTGGACTTCTGAAGTAAGATACTGGGAGGTGAAGAGCTGGGACTTGAACCCCGACTTCTGACTCCAGGACCCCAGTGTGTCATGTCCATTATAGATCTCCCATCCCCACAGCTTTGAGGTCATGAGGAGGATGGCAGGTGCCAAGTGGGTTTGGAGCAAAATTGTGACTGTGGGGTGAGAAACAGGACCCCTAGAGTTTTTACTGGCATTCTGATGAGGGACAAGGGTTACACCCCAGGATAGCAGACCCCATCCCTGGTCTAGGGCCTTATAAAGTAGTTCTTCTTTTTGTTGTATACCATCAAGTCGGAACTAACCCATACATGACTCTCCAGTGGGTTTTTAGAGGTAGTAAATGCCACAGGAGGAAATTGCCCATACTTCTGTAGAGCAGCTGTTGGATTCTGGAATTGCAGTGCAGCTTCTTACCACTAGGCCACCAGAGCTCCCTAGAAGTAGTAGTAATTGTTGTGTATTGTTGAGTCAGAACTGACCCATAGCCACCCTCTAGCAGGTTTTCAGAGGCAGTTAATTGCATGGGAGGAGATTGCCCATCTTTTTCCCGTGAAACAGCTGGTGGATTTGAGCCATGTACCTTAGGTTGTCAGCACAACTCTTTACCACCTGTTGGGGCTATATTTGGAACAAGAACCAGCAGTACAGTGTGTCTGTAAGAGCCCCAGGTGCAAGCACTGGGCAGGCCGGAGGTGAGGCCGACCGAGTCAGCATCAGAAGGCCCTTGACCCAGCTATTCTTCCCTTTTCTGTGACTTTAACCAAATCACCCAACTTCTCTGAATCTCCAGTGTCTCATCAGAAAACAAGATGTGAGAAGCATAGAATTATCTCGTGAGGTATAAAGTTTAGTGCAATGCCGTGATATACAACAAAGTGCTGGCACAGAGCACTCAGAAAGGAGCCTGATCGCCAAAGTGGGACCACAGAGGGCCAGGAGCCTGGGTGGGTGTCCAGGAACCCCCTATTCAGGGAGCATCTCTGTGACCCTAGACCCTGACATGGACCTTCAGCCCTCTGGAGGAGACCAAGTACCTGTTCCGAGAGGGGATCTGGATCTGCAAAGTTGGCTTGCCCCCAAACACCAGGTCCCCCAACACCATCCACTACATGCTGCGGCTGGTGGGCATGGGTATCACCAGCAGCCTTTCTGTGAGTTGGGGAGCCCGCCCAGGGGGAGTAGGAGTGAGAACAGGGCACAAGTAAGAGCGTACGCCAGGACATTTGACTCCAAGAGGGCAAGAAGTGGAGTTAGGCCCCAACCCCTGCTCTGGGGTGGGCGGTGGGGTGAATGAGCCCCGTTTCCGGCTGGCTGACTCTGGCCCCCAGGTCAAGGAGCCCGAGCTGCACTTCGGGAGCATGCTGGTGAACAGCACACAGTCCCGGGTCCTGGTGCTTCTGAACAAGGGCAACTGCACCCTCTATTACCGCTTGTTCCTGGAGCAGTCCAGTCCCCAGGCTGTCAGCAGCGACCCCCTCGGTACTCGGGCCTGGGCTGGGCTGGGCTGGGGGAGGCAGGGTGGATGATGACTGAGACTAGGGGCTGAGGTCAGACAGGGCAGAGCTGAAGATCTAAAGCTTTGCGTCCTAGATGTGCAGTGCTGGGCACGTGACTCCTTCCAAGTCTCCACTGCCTCATCTCTGAAATGGGGCAGCTGCTGACCCCTGTGCTGGGAAAGGTAGAGGGTCGGAGAAAGAAAGGAAGCCCCTCGACCTAATGGACCGACACAGGGACTTATAACCATGGGCTTGAGCTTACTCTAGAGGGTGTGGATGGAACAGGACAGGGCATGGCTCACATCTGTTGCTGAGAGGGTCACTGTGATTCGTAGTGGACTCGATGGCACCTGACAACAACAACAAGGTAGAAGAAAGAGCTTAGTAGGTGCCAGTGACCCTGGGAATGCGGAACTATGAACTATCATCCACCTTCTGGTCAGAACCCGTCTCAGTCAGTTCTTGGCTGTCCCCGAGAGGGTGTTGAGGAAAGAACAGGAGAAGCTGGGGCTCCTCTCCTGGCAACTTCCTCTGCCCTCTAACCTCTCCCTCCCGGGTCATCCCTGAGCAGATCTGCAGCTGGAACGGACGGAGGGGAGCATGCCACCCTGGTCCCAGGACCACATCAGCCTGGTGGCCTGCCCCAAGCTCCGGGCCCATTACTCCTGGACCATCAGCTACGCACTCCTCTCCAACAGAGGTACCTGTGCTGCCTCACCTGGTACAGAGAGACAGGGCTGGGGGAGGATGGGGGTGGTGGAGCGCTGTGTGAGGGCGCGTATGTGTACACTGAGTGTCAATATGTAATGTGTGTGCGAGTGCTAGGGTCCACCTTGAGGGTCCCGTACGTGTGTCACTGACACCACGTCTCTAAGCGGGTTCAAGGTGGGAGCCTGGTCTGTGGAGGGCTCGTGGTAAAAGCTTAGGGGCTGCCCTGTTGATCTGTTGTGTACTCTTAGGCAAACCTTGGCCTCTCTGTGCCTCGACCCCTTCTGTCGAATGGCACTGTTACAAGCCCACCTTGTGGTTGGCACCAGGCTGCCCTCTGCTGCCAGGGCAGCACAGAAACGGGCTCAGGGTTTGAACTCTGGAGCCAGGATGTCTTGGATCGGATCCCAATGCTTATTAGGCACACAGTCTTAGCAAGTTGCTTCACCTCTCTGTACCTCCATTTCCTCATCTATAAAGTGGGGGTGATCATGGTACAGGAACAGCAAAAAGGAAAAAAGGCATCTCAATATCACATACCACAGCATAAAAATATTATTCTAAGTAAAAGAAAACCCATTGCCACTGAGTCGAAACTGACTCATAGCTGACGTTCCTGGGGCTGTAAGTCACAGAGAAGATTGTCCTGTGGGGGGTCACTGGTGGATTTGAACCACCAAAGTGGCATAGGCTTTGAATTAACAACTCCTTACAGACCATACCACCAGAGGTCAGACATGAAAGACCATGACACCACTTATATGAAATGTAAAAAACCCAAACAAACCACAGATTTTTAGAGACAGTAAATGGTTTGTGGTCGCAGGGGCTCGGAGGTGGGGGGAAGGAATGAAAGGTGACAGCTATTGGGGTGGTGCAAATGTTCTCAGCTTAGATAGTGTAATGACTATTGGCAAGAAGTTGTACTACAATCCTGAAGGCATACAGTTAATCCACGAGCTACTCCTTGGGAGAAGGATAGGTAATCTTTACCTGTGTGATTAACTGCCTCTGAAAACCCTCCAGAGGGTCAGCTATGGGTCAGTTCCAGCTCGACGATACAGCAATGATTACACTACCCAGGAAAGTATCAGAAGTCACTGAATTGTACATTTTGATTGAGTGAGTTCTATATGAACAAAACTGTCATTTTAAAAATTAGTTTGATAGAAAAGTTTTATGCTGTTGTGTACCATCGAGTCAGACTGACCCACAGCTGATCCTTCAGTGGGTTTTCAGAGCCAGTAAATCACACAGGAGAAGAACACCCCTTTCCACTAGTGGAGCAGTTGGTGGATTTGAACTGCTTACCTTGGAGTCAGTGTAGCGCCTTACCACTAAGCCTTCAGCACTCTGGTTTGATGTTGATGTTGTTGTTATTTATGTGCCATTGGGTTGCCCACGACACATAGCAACCCTGTGTACAATGGCTCTGAACCCTGCCTTATCCTGAACCAGTCTCGCTGTCTCTGGCACACCTAACCCTGTGACCCCAGTTCAGTCTATCTCGTCCAGGGTCTTCCTCTTAATGTGCTGTCTCTTCACCCTCCTAAGCATTATGTCCCAAGGACTGGTCCCTCCTGGCCACGTGCCTGAAGTATGTGAGACGGCGCTTCAGAATCCTTTCCTCGGCGCATGGATGTTGATGTTTTGCTTCTGACACCTTTGTGCTCAGAGTGGAGTGATCTCAGGAGGAGTCGGGAGGATTCTAATATTTGGTGGTGTGACTTTGTCAGTTTGCCAAGGCAGCACGTAGCCAAGAGGGCAGGCATTCGGCTTCCACCTAAAGTAAACTGGATTTTGCACATACGAAATTTGCCTGACAAAACCACAGCAGAAGAAACGTATGATATATTTAGGAAATATGGACCCGTTTGTCAAATCAGAGTGGGGAAGACACCTGAAACTGAAGGAACAAACAGCTTATGTGGCCTGTGAAGACATCTTTGATGTCAGCAATGCGTGTGATCACCTGTCAGGATTTCAGGATTCAGTGCTTGTAATAGATAACTTGTGATATTATACTATAATGCCAACAGGCCATTTCAGAAGATGGACACAAAAAAGGAAGAACAATTGAAACTTTTGAAGGAGAAATAGGGCATCAGCCAAAAGATCCAACAAAATAAATGCTGTTTTCTTCATTTTGATTTTGAACTGAAACCCTTGACTCTGCTAGCATCACCATTTTTTTCTTTTTTTAAATTAATACTAAATATTATACACAGCTTTAGTTTGCTTGGCTCCACAGTCAACAGTCTTGGCACCAGCAGCCAGGAAATTAAAAGGTGCATCGCCATGGGAAAGTCTGCTGTTAGGGACCTCTCCAAAGTACTGAAGAGCAATGGTGTCTCTCTGGAGACTAAGGTGCGTCTGATACAGGCCATGGTCTTCGCAATCACTTGTTATGCATCAGAGAGTTGGACAATGACCAAGGAGGATACAAGGAGAATTGATGCCTTTGAGCTGTGGTGCTGGAGAAGAGTATTGAGAATATCATGGACTGCTAGGAAAACAAACAGATTCATCCTGGAAAGGGTCAAACCAGGTGGCTCCTTGGAGGCAAGGATTCTGAGGCTCCATCTAACATACTTTGGACATGTTGTGAGGAGAGACAGGTCCTTGGAGAAGGACATCATGCTTGGGAGGGTGGAGGGACAGCGACAGCGCAGGAGAGGAAGGCCCTCTATGAGGTGGATTGATTCAGTGACTGGGATAATTGGGATGGGAGTGTCAGAGACAGTGCGATTGGCACAGGACAGAGCGGAGTTTAGGGCTGTTGTACATAGGGCCGACTCGACTGCACATAACAACAACAACAACTAAATATTGTGATTTTTAAACTTGATATAATTACCTGCTTAAAACATTGCTGCAAAAATTTAATTGCTACATTAGAATCTATTATGTTAATGAATTGTAGCCTTTTGTAAAACAAAACAAACAAACAAAAATCCTTGTCTTCAAGGAGAAACTTGGTTTCCCTATCTCCAAGAAAGAACAATTTGTTCTCCTGGCAGTCCATGGTATATTCAGTACTCTTCTCCAGCGCCACAACTCAAAGGCATCATTTGTTTATCTGTCATCCTTAGTCATTGTACAGCTCTCTGATGCATAGCAAGTAATTGTGAAGACCATGGCCTAGATCAGGTGCACCTTAGTCTCTACACTGATATCATTGCTATTTAGCATTTTGGAGAGGTCCTTGACAGCAGACTTCCCCAATACTATTCATCTTTTGATTTACTGGCTGCTCGTGCCAAGAGTGTTGATTATGGAGCTGAGCATCCCTGACACACTTCCTTCCTAACTTTGAGTCATGCTGTGTTTTCTTTCTCTGTTCTAAACACTGTCTACTGGTCCAAGCACAGGTTTCCCATGAATACAATCAAGTGTTCTGGGTTTCGATGCTTCCCAAGGTTAGCCATAATTTGTTGTGATCCACACAGTCAAATGCCTTTGTATAGTCAAGGGAACACAGATAGACGTTCCTCTGGTACTCTGTGTTAAGCCAAGATCCATCTGGCATTGGTGATAATGTCTTTAGTGCCACAACCTCTTCTGTACTCAGCTTGTATTTCTGATAGTTCTCTGTCATTGTACTGTTCCAGTCATTTTTGGATAATCTTCAACAAGACTTTGCTTGTGTGTGGTACTGTTCAATAATTTCCACACTCTGTCGAATCACCTTTTTTGGGGGATAGGAATAAATATGGATCTCTTCTAGTCAGTTGGCCAGGTAGTTTGTCCTCAATTTTCTTGGCACAACCAGATAAATATAAAATAGTATATAGTGAAGGCTGCATAGTGGAGTGCACTTAGGGGGAGATACTGCATAACAATGAAAGGGTTTTTCTTTTCAAGGAGAAGAGTGAATTGGGGGGAAGGGGGTGGGCAGGGAGAAAAGTGCAACAGTGAATGACTAGAAACCCTAAGTCTCTGTAAATTTTCATTTAAATTAATAAAAAAAATAATATAATGAGTAAAGTACTTAGGCCAATAACTCACACAGGGAAAGTTCTAGAACTGAGCTGGCTGTTACTGGAGATGCTCCAGCTCACTGGAGAAGTCAGCTACTTCTGGCTGGGGTCCAGGAACAGAATGCCTAGGGGTCCAGCTCCCTCAGTTGGCATGGCCCCCTGGGCTGGGACATAATCTCAATCCTCCCTTCCACATCACCCCTACTCCCAGATAACAAGATGGGGCAGAAGTGTGAGCTGTGTCGGGTCTCCCTGGAGGGCGTGTACCCCCTGCTCTCTGTCCTGGACATCTATGCCATGGGCAGCACCGAGGGTATCACCCGGAAGCATTTGTGGCAACTCTTCTCCCTGGACACACTCAACAGTTACTTGGGGCGTGACCCCACCCCCCAGGAGCTCACCTACAAGGTGCCCACCCGTCACAGGTGAGCCAGAGACAGGTGTTTCTACCTGTTCTCCCAACCCCTCACCCTCACCGTCCAAGCAGTGGCTCCTCATCTCTGGAGGCCCTCCAAGTCCCTGCCCATCCCCGAAGGGCTGGGTTTGGGGACTGTCATGCTGGCTTACCGCATCCTCTAAGTCCCAGATTCTCTAATTTTCACCTAAGTAGGTGGACACCCAAGCCATCCAGGCTTGAGAGACCCGCTGTATCCCCATCCCTGCTCACTGGCTGCCTCTGAGTCTCTTTCTCTGCCTTGTTTACAGCACAAGCCAGATCCCTCCCATCTTCACCCCTTTAAAGCTGAACTTCAACTTTGGGGCTGCACCACTTGAGGCCCCGCCCTCTGTGGTGCTCCTGGCCCTGAAGAACAGTGGAGTGGTGCCCCTGGACTGGTATGACCACCCCCTGAAGGTGCTTGGGGCGGGGGTTGGTGAGATAGGAGGCTAGGAGGGCAGGAGGGTGGGAAGCTGTCTCTCTTGCTGATAATAGACGTGGCTGCATGGTGTTCTGCACTGATGATACTGGGAAGGCCAGTCAGTGGTAGGCTGGAGTCACTGTGCAAAGAAGCTGTACAAAAGCTATTTCCTCCATCCTGAGATGTATCCATAAGCCCAGGGGTGTTGGGATCTCCCTTTTAAGGGCACAGACACCTCAGTACCTAAAAAATTAAGACGTATTCATTAAGCGTCTGCAGCAGGCCACCCCATGCTTCACAAGCCTCGTCTCCTCCAATCCTCAAACGAATTATCTAAAAAGATACTTCTCTTGACTCTCTAATCGATGGGAAGACTGAGGGTCAGTGAGGTCAAGTGGTCAGCTGAGGCCTCAGAGCAGAAAATGGGCAGAAACTGGTCACCATCAGTTGATCCTGACTCGTGCCAAATCCATATGTGTCAGAGTAGGACTGGGCTGTGGGGTTTTCAGGGGCTGGTTTATCCCAAGTACATAAGCAGGCCTTTCTTCCGAGGTGCTTTAGGATGGGATCCAACTTATGGTTTATCTATTTCTTAACCGTTTGCAACAGCCAGGGCTAGTTCCAGGTTCAAACCCAGATTTGCCCCATGATAAAGGCAGTCCTGGCCTCACTACTTTAGTGCGTGGCAACAGCTGAAAGGTTAGGAGTTTGAATCGACAGAGAGCTCTGGTGGCCTAGTGAGTAAGGTGTTGTGCTGCCAACCCAAAGGCAGGCAGTTGGAAGCCACCATTGCTCTGGGGGAGAGAGATGCACCTCCTGTGTGATTTACAGCCTCTGAGAACAGCGTGGAGGGTCATTTGTGAGTCGGCTCCAATTCTACAGCGCATAAGACAATGACTCGGTGGGCGAATGATGGGATACTCTGCTTCTATGAAGATTTTCATCTTTGTACGAGGCAGTTTTACTCTGCCCTCTAGGATCTCTCTAATTCAGAATCCACACGAGGGGAACAGGTCTGGGAGTTGGGTTTAAGGAGGCCTGGTGTGTGGGGAGTTTGGCTGTTAACCCAAATGCCAATCCTCTGTGGCAGTCTGAATATATCTACTGCTCCGCGAGAGAAAGGCGGGCAGTGTTCTCCCGTGTGAGTTACACCCTCTGAAAACCTGTTGAAGGGTCAGCTGAGTCAGTTCTGACTGGAAGGCAGAGTTTAAGGTTGTTCAGGGTTTTTCTGAGGTGACCTCGTCATTACCAGTTGGAGCTGACTGAAAGGTCAGTGTCTGGCCAGCATGGAAGTGTCAGATTGCTTCTGCGCAGGCGCTGGGTTCAGAACCCAGAGCCAGGGAGCCAGGGCCAGAATGGAGGAGGCGAAGGATCTGGGGAAGGACAGATGACAGGGACATGCTGCCCCCGGCGTCGGTGCCAGCATTGGTGGACTGGCCACCAAGGGGCCACAGAGCAGATGCCACAGAGCAGACTGCAGGAAGGGTCCAGGGTGAAGGGATCCGTGTCCTCCCTCCCGCTGCAGGTAGGCCCTGCCCCTCCAGTCCCATTGGGTGCAGCCTGGAAACCTCGCTACTGGCTGGCCTGCCCTGCACTCCACTCTCCTCCCACTGGGGCACAGAGCTGCTGCCCAGCAAACATCCTGCTCAACACCAGGGCATTTTCTTGTCCTTCCTGCTTGCCTAGTAAACTTCCTTTTGGTGACTTCCAGCTTTACTTGACCCAGAAGAGGTGGAAAAGGAGGATCCTTGTCTGAACCAGGCTGGGGAGAGGCAGCTGGGAGCCCCATTCAGGACAGTGGGGGTGTGGATGAGAGTGAGACTATGCAGGGTAGGGGAACCTCTGTCAGCTCAGAAATTTTCCGGTCCAAGGACTCTTGGGAAGGGGTGAGTGAAGATGGAGTGAGGACTGAGTACCTGGTGGTATCCCCTTACCCTCTGACATGTTCCTGTGATAGGAGGGCGTGGGGTATGTGGGGTGAGGACTGGGTACCTAGTGGTACCCCCCCCCTTACCCTCTGACATGTTCCTGTGATAGGAGGGTGTGGGGTATGTGGGGTGAGGACTGGGTACCTAGTGGTACCCCCCCTTACCCTCTG